TTGGTGAACACCTACACCATTTTTATATAATCACATATCAAAAAATCCTCAAATAAATCCTTGTTCAATCTTTACACACTCCTTAACAACAAAAATGGGGATCTAAATTGCTTGGTTACAATTTTGAAGTTTTTTTTACTACCCTAGCTAGCAGAATTAGGTAATAGATGCTTTATCTAGACAAGAAGAACAACCCAATGATCATACCCTGTTGCTCGCTACATCTTAACCAATTCCAGATTTGACACACTAGCTCCTCTAATATTTTGCAAAACTAGAAGAGCTATAGTAGAAAAAAGGACAAGGAAAGACATGACATCTTAAACCTTTCACAGAGGACTCCTATTTTACCAAGATATAATCTTTATACTTGATTTATCAAAGTTCCATATGGCTCTCTTGAATGAGTTTCATGCCAACCCTTGAAAGGTCACTCTAGGCTTAAGCCAACATATTGTCGCCTAACTTCATCCTTATTTTGTTTTGGTTTTTACACTGAAACAAAACAATTTGTTCCTTAGTGTTCTATCTTTCAAAAAAAAAAAAAAAATATCAACCATAAAAGAAGATGTGACAACCTTTACCCCTTCTAGCCCAAGTTTGGGAAGACTTGACCACAAACTTCATCACACATCTTCTAATGTTTTTAAATCATACAATGGTTTGGGTGATTTGTTACAAGCTCACCAAGTTTGTGCATTTTATTGCACTACCTACTCATTTTTCAATATAAACAACTTGTGACTAGATTGTCATCCAAAATTTGTAGACTCTATGGCCTTTTGAATCAATTATGTAAGATAGAGATCCCTTGTTCATTAGTAACTCTAAAAACAAATATTAAAAATCTAGGGGACTCAATTACATTTCTCAACCACATACCATCCTAAAATTGATAAATAGTTTGAAGTGGTCAATCACAATCTCAAAGCATACCTTTCAATGTTTTGCAAGTGACAGACCTTGAAATTGGTATTGATTCTTGGTGAGGTATTAGTCACACATGGTTGGCGGTGGCATTGATGAAAGGTTTAGATGGTCCAAAAGTCACATGATGTTCAATTTGAATTAATGGTTGGGATGTGTTGGTTGGTTGATTAGGTGGATCCAAAGTCATTCCATTGGCGAGTATCATTATCCTATGAAAACCAAAAGTCATCTCCATCCAACCAAAATATTGGACCTCAATGTTTTGCATCAACCTAACTTCCCAACAACCATTCAAATTTCACACCATCAAGTGGACCACTTAGACCCAACACTTAGACCAAATGAACAAGCCCAAATGCAAACCCAACACTTAGACCTCGAGGACAAGGTCTCTTTTCCACCCAAGGGTATTGATAGTGGGCTAAATAGAAAGCCCCAAAGAAACATTGCTCACCCAAAAATGGTTCAATAATAGTTAGTTGTTATAGGATTTTTCCAAGTGTAGGGCTCATTGTTGGGATGTAAGCAAAGTTCCACATTGTCCAAATAAGAGGCTTAACATGGATTTATATACTCACAATTGTCTCTATTGGTAAGAGATCTTTTGAGTGATTTCCAAAAGCAAAATCGTAAGGGCTTAAGCTTAAAGCGGATAATATCTTACCATTATAAAGACATGTGTATGCCTAGTGCACAAGTGGTATTAGAGTCGTTGGTTTGACCAAGTGATCAGTTCAATGAATATGATGAAGTTGGCAGGTGGATCTTGGTATAAAATCACTTCGAAAGTCTTTATAACGGTGGATCCATGTATGGAAGAGTATCCTCCTGATAACATAGAGGGTTAGAAGGCGTGTCTTATTATCGTGAGTTAACATGATGGAGCGACAATGCAAGTACTTAGAGTGTGACTAAGCTATATGGACCACCATTGTATAATACTTGTGGATTAACTTCTACTGTACAAAGGGTTTAGGGTTTAGGGTTTAGGATTTAGGGTAAACCATGATCTTTTGTTTAAGGAAAGGATTGTTGGGATGCAAGCAAAGTCCTACATTGTTCAAACAAGAGGGTGAATGTGAATTTATATACATATAGTTATATCCATTGATAAGAAACTTTTTGGATGATATCTAAAAGCAAAACTGTGAAGATTTAAGCTTAAAGCAAACAATGTCTTACCATTGTGAAGACATGTGTGCAAGCATTTGTGTATGTGAAACCCTCCATGCACAACACTCATCTTCCATCACCATTTGGAACCAAATGGAGAACTAAGATTAGTCAAATTTTGTAGTAATAAACATTCCACATAAGCACTACAATTTTGGGTAAGTCAAATTTTTCATTTAATTTCTACTTCACATCCTTAGGAAAAGGAATCCATATCTAACAACAGAGTAGACTCTAGAACCCAGACACATGTTACATATGTGTGACATATGTGTATTTATTTCAAAAGAAGTCTCACATTGTTTAGTCCACGTAAAACTTGAATGTTTATATATCAAGTGTTTCTTACACTTCTAAAGAGGCAAACAATGGGTGTTGAACTCAAGCGCATGAGAATGGACCTTGTGAACCCGTTGCAATTCAAATATGTCAATTTGCCTTTCCCCCACCTCCCTTCCTACGCTTACGAAAGATGGGATCCAAAAACATTTTTATGCTTGATTAATTACATTAAATTATTGTAGTTAATTGAGACAAACTTTCCAAAATACGACTATTTTTATTTTCATTTTAAAAGTTACCCCACTCTTCAAAATTCTGTTAATTTTCAAATTATTTATAAACTTCACATAGGCTCCGTAACTTTATAAATAAAGGCATTTGCCTTTATTTTATACATCCAAAAACACTTGAGCTCTCTCTTTTTTGTATTCTAGATTTTTTATTAAATTATTTGGTCAATGTCATCACACGTCTCATGAAGAATTTATCTAACATGTTAATTCAATGTTTTTATCGTGTGATATACATTTGAACAATTCAAAATATTTCTCCCAACCACGAAATGTGACCCCATTCGACCACCTTGAACACTATTTCCGACGGTGATTTTGGGAAGGTTCCATGGAGCAGCGGATCAAACAACCATCCTCGTCGCCAACGTCTGATTAAACAACCACCTCCCGTGCTCATACATGAGAACGGTGGAAAAGATGCAAAATTAACTTTATATAATGCTGAAAAATACTCCCTAAAATACTGCATACACGTGGCTACAAATTTTACACTTGACATGAACATTAGAAATCAATGAAGAGCAACGAAACTGACCTTATGCACAAAGAAATAAGGGGTTCAATTAAGGTTGTTCGAATGGGAGAAAAGGTAAAAACTACAATAGGGTCAGAAACATAAATATTTTCGAACTGGTCCGAGTTCTCAGACCATTCAAAAGGAAAACTTGTCCACAGGTCTACTCCATCGTCAGATACGGATTCCTTTTCTAAAGAATGTTAAGAACAAAGCAAATGAAAACTCTGACCTACCCAGAATCACAATGCCTACATGTAATGTTTATTAATAAAAACTTTAATTAATTTTACTTTTTCGTCCCATACCGCATAATTAATCCTCACCATGGAATAATAATCAATGTATAAATCTTAATGGCTATAAATCTTTTTCCACGTTAGGAGATTAGGTCTCTCACCTTATCACATGCACCATGCCTACACACATCTTTAAGACGTTCAATAATTTAAACTATATTTTATCAAAAATATATTTTTTTTTCAAAACTCAACAAATGTACAAACATTTGTAATTGTGAGATTAAGGAAAAGTTCACATTTAAAATATAGCAACATGACTCACGTGGATGGGGATTTGATGGGACAAACACCATGGTATATGGTGATGAGGTAGCGTGAGGTGACAAGTGAGGAAGAGCTGATGGACAGAAAATGCAGTCCCAGCTTGCGGGCTTTCAAAGTGGAAAATGTAAAATGAAAAAAATAAAACTATTCAATTATCAACAACAAAAATACACATAAGAGATAAGGAGATTTAAAAAAAAGAATGAATATGATAAATAATATAATATGATAATAGAAGTCGAGAGAAATAATAAAGGTTAATAGTGTTTGGATTGATAGTGTTCCCATATTACTACTTAATTATCAGATACTCATGCAAAATCTTAGAAAATGTTGTGATCTTACCCAAAAAAAAATTCATACAAGAAAATTAGAAGAAAGCCAACTCGCTATGGCTTTCATAAATGTTTAAAGAGTGTTAGTACTATACTTTCTGATGCATGTTTTTAAATACTTTTTTTTGTTACAAACTTAAATTTATCAAAATAATAAAATATAAGTAAAATTCAGTAATTAAAAACTAAAATCCATACCATTCCTTAATCTTAATACATTTTAATTAATAAAAAAAGAACGTTTTAAAAAGTGTTAAAAATTGTATTGATAATATTTGCCTTAACAGCTAGAATCAATAATTAAGAGCAAAAGCCAATAATTTCTTATATTAGATTGCAAGCAGTATAGAACAGGTAGGATTACACTCAACTCTGTTGTATCCCCCCAAAAACGATTAATTCTCTCTATTTTATATGTTAACTGACGTCGCCGCTAAGGTGTTTCAATTGATGATTCTAGCATCCGAATGAAGTTTGCCAAGAAGCAACTCATAATTGCTTATCTGATGTCCAAAATCTCATTAACGTCCCTTTCTTCTACTAATAGAAAATCAATTCTAGCTAAAAACTCCTCTAATTCACTAGACAAATGGGCACTAAACATGAACGCATAGAAATCTATTTCACACAGCTCTAATCAATACAAAGTACTTACTAGTCGGCTTTTCTCACATGCTCTCCCAGTCCCACTAACTAAAGATGCAAACCAATCAATAAAGAGCATTGCTTTCAGTTACATTAAAGGTGCATACATTTGGGTAGAAAAAGCAAATCATCAAACCCAAAATGTTTTCAATCTTTACACCAAACAAAATTATTGATATAAAATAGTTATTGATATTAAACACTCATCTCTACCATTTAATTTTACAAAAGACAATGCTATCTAACCAAGGGAAAACTCTAGTTAACAGGTAACAAAAAAAATCTCATTCCGAAGCAAAAATTATCAAGTTGCGAAAATAGAGCATTTTATGCTAGATGTTCCTCTCCTTATTTTACCAAGCGATCTTACAACAGTAGCTGGGTTTGAGGTTTCACCCGCACACCAGCATTCACATCTACATAAATTTACAAAATGTAGGCAAAACGAAAAATATATATGTATATGTAGTTTTTTACCATGTGGAAGCCACCACCCTTTCTCTATACATGTCTTATTATTGCAGATGGATAATAAATCTGCTTGCTTTTCAGCCTGTGGTGATGATGGCAGTGTAAATGAAGCAGTTTAAACTACCAACCTCTTCCGACAATCTTGTATCTCTCTACCATAACAAAAAGTTGCAGCTGATAGCCTCACACAATGGGAATCGGGATGCTCTTGCTGTTAACATTATGATGCATTTGGTTTTGCACAGCCTTGAGAGCAGCTACTCTAGCTGCATTGGCTGCTCTGTTAGCGGCTGCTACTGCTCTATTCACCCTTTCATCTACCTTGGCCACATCATAGGCCTTCTCAGCTGCTCTTCTTGCTTCCTGTTTGTTCAAAAAGAAACACAAAATTAATAATGGAAGTTCCTAATGATGCAAACTCACTGTTTGCAGTTAATTTTGCCTCTTTCCTTCTACACAAGTGTGCTGATTTGATACAAATAAAAGAAAATGTTCCACTATCTGACCATTCTCTAAGCTTGGACAATATGGAAAATTATAAACAGCCAGAACCTTTTACAGAATGAGTGGCACACTAACTGACTATTGAATAAATGGGGGAGTTTTACCATTTTATCTTATCTAATAACCCTTGAATTTAGCTGAAATCTGAAATTTTTCCAGGAGGTGTAGCACTACATTTTTCTTCTTGGAATTTCAGTTAAACAATAACTTCAAATGCAGTGACAAGAAACCGTCCTTGGAGACAGAAACATACAACAATTCTGAGTATGTAAGTTACATTCAAAAGAAAAAGAATAGATTTCCCTCCCTAGAGAGATGCTTAAATTATACTCTCCTCTTCTCTTATATTAAAATATACACTGTCCTCCCTTGAAAGATGAATATATAAGTTAGATTCGAGTCTATTTCAATGTAAATGGACTTTTTAGACTTTTTCTCTTGCATCTACTATCAATTCGTGACCTTAGAAGACGAAACAAACAATTTAGATGAAATTTCAAAGCCAATAAAAGAGGTATAAAAAATTTCACTCAACCTTCTAAAATATTAAGGTTGAATAATCAATGTTCAAGGCTAGTTGCTAGTGATACTAAAAATTATAGAAATATTATTGGGAGGTACTGGTACATTCATAATTGTTAATTGTTTAAGAAGTTCATTTATAATGAAAATGATAAGGTGTAACTCATTCACTGTTCAAGGGAGGGGAATGTAATTTAAGCATCTCTCAAGAGAAGGTAATGCAATTTACTCAGAAAAAATTGATACATCATTATGCACTGTCATAAAATATCAAAGCAACTGGCAATGACCAAATAGAATCACCCAGACTGATCATTCTAGGCATATTATTTCTATAATGATAAATCAGGAAAGAACATTAAACAATAAATTAAGGTAAATTAAGCTAAACTAAGTCATAAACATAGAGTATACCTGCACTGCATTAAGTACTCTGGAATGATTGACGCCAACAGGAGAAACAGGATAGGTAGTGCTCTGTGTGCTCGGAATGTCAAGGACTCCATTTTGCCAGTGACCAGACTGGGTTTCTCCATTTCTAAATGTATACATTCCAAGACCTTGCCTTTTGCCTTCATGCCAGGATCCTTCATAACAATGGCCATTTGCAAAACTATATACCCCAAAACCATGCATTTTATCCGCAAAGTATTCACCAGCATATGTATCCCCGTTTCTGAAAAATAAAAAACATAAATAATTAGTTCCAACAAAAATAAAACACGTGCTGGTGAGCTGAGGAAAAGAACCAGACAAAGCCCTATGTAATTCAATTCAGCAATCTCACACAAATGATCTTTAGCAGAGATGAACCCACATTCAAGAAAAAATAATTAAGAATGCATTCATAAATGCCCAAGATCCTACTATCTGATACTTGATAGCAGTCCATTTTGAAACGAAAAAACAGGAGGTATCAGCATAGATTGTAGATGCTCAACAAAGTATCTAACAAAGTGCACTGATCAGAGAACAAATAAGTGGAATCAATGGGGGAGAGAGTGAGAAATAGAGAGAGAGGAAAGGACACCACACTCGTCTCAGCATGTAAAATTTAATTACATGAAATCACAATGGTTAAAATTACTGCTGTGACCTGAAGATCACAAGACCAAGTCGCAGAATTCACTTCTTGCCAGGAACTTGAGATTATGTGTTCCTTCAGATTCTCAGAACTTGTACGGTGTTATTATAATGGAATAACTATAGGTTTAAAGTTTGAGAGGTATAAAGCACCTTTGAAACTGAGTCTATCCTTGGGGGCAGATACCTCTTTCCTGATGATGGCAGTGTAAATGAAG